CCAAGGTGTGGGGCTGAGTTTGATCGTGTATGAATGTGAGTGTGTAAAAGAGAGAGAGAGTGTGTGTGTGTGTGTGTGTGTGTGTGTGTGTGTGTGTGTGTGTGTGTGTGTGCGTTTTATGTTCAGGAGGCGTCCCCCATACTGAGGCACCCTGCGCTTGGCGACGCGGTGGCGGGCCGTACACGTGGCGGCGTGATGGCGGCCGCTGCGCCACTGTCGGTACAACACGCGCCAGCTCGCGGCCTGGGTTGGACCAGCTCAGCAGCTGTCTAGCTCATCCGGCTGCCCCGCACCGTTCGCCCCTGACTGACCCTCCTTGACTGCTGCGCCCCTGCTGCCGGCTCCTTCCCCCGCCGCCTCCCCAGGGCCGCGGTGCCAGCCAGGGCTACGAGAGCGCCATCGCTCTGCAGACCGCCCAGGATGACGAGTTCGTGCTCAAGGAGAACGTGAAGAGCGTGGCCGCCTCCAAGGGTGAGCGCCCCTGCGGTGATGGCAACGCACCCACCTCTATTTTCAGGACGTGTGGGCCGGCCCGCGCACATTCGTGTGTAGGGGGGTCCTGCTTGCTGCAAACAGGCACCGGTGTGGCCCTGACTTGTCCGTGGGTTTGGTGTGCAACAACGCCATGATTGCTTCTTATGAACCACGCTGTAGATGCACAGGGGTGATGCCTTGCCCATATCACTGTACACCTGGCAGGCTCAGTACATTGGCCCGATGCGTGTATGCGCGCACCCCCCCCCCCCCCCCGAAATTCACAAAAATCACAGATTCCTGTGCCTCCACGAACACAATCGTGCACGCGTGCCCATGCACACTCATGCTCTCGCCCACCCTCTCGCAACCACTCACTACCCGCACACGTGCGCCGCCCCCTCGCCTCCCGCAGGCTCCGCCGTGTTCAGCGTGGCCAAGGTGGACCCCTCCACCGGCGAGATCGCTGGCGTCTTCGAGTCCGTGCAGCCCTCCGACACTGATCTGGGCGCCAAGGCCCCCAAGGATGTGAAGATCACCGGCCTCTGGTGAGCGATCTGGATCTGATCACGATCTTGACCTGCCTATGACCTCGGACTGAGCGCATCACGACGGGGCTAGATAGCGCTTGCAAGGGCCAGCTCTGATGGCGGGGCCTGTGGCTGCAGTCCCATTGGGCTTGACAAGAGGTGATGGGTGCCATTCGGTCCCCGCAACTCCTGAGTTCGAGTTGTGGAGTTTCAACACGCCACCTACACCACCCCCACAACCACCAGCATCGCACCCGCCTTCCCACCCACCCACCACACTCATCACATCATCACACATACTCACGCGCACGTTCGCACACACCACAACACCAACGATGCGTTTGCAGGTACGCCCAGCTGCAGTAAGCACCCCTCGCCTCAGCTTCCTGGCTGACAGGGAGGGCCGCGCGCCCGAAGCACGCGCGGGGGCTGCGGCGCCGCGGCGCAGCGCCCCGCAGCAGGCCCGCGCCCGACCGCGTGTGTTGTGTACGCGCGCACCAGGCCCTTCCCATGCACGCGCCCCATCCACTCCACTGCGGGCCCCCCCGCCCGCGCCGCGCCGCACCCGCACCCTTTTTGTCCCTCCAATGGCCGCCTCTGTCAGGCGGCTGCGCTGGGCTGCGGGCGCGAGCCTTCGTTCCACGGGACGACGGGCGCATACCGCAAGCATCGCGCGCGCGCGCGCTGGTTTTTCCCCCACCTATCCTAGAGACCGCTCTGCTTTGGAGACTGTGCTTGAGTGTGCCCGTCGTGAGTGCTGACGCCCCTGCTGATTGCTTGCTCGCGCTGTAAAGTGAGGCAACGAGGCATGCAATGCCATCATCACGAGTCATGGTCATGGCGGCATGGGGCGGTCAGCCTTGAACACGGCATGGCTCAAAACACTGGGCACAAAAGGGCTGTATGTAGATGGTGCAAAGTGACGACATGCGCACAGCATGACAAGGTCATGAGACCAAAGTGGTGGGAGGAGTCAAGCTCGCCTAGACGCAAGTTACAAAGCAAAGCAAAGAGACGAAACACACTCGGCACAGCACACCGCCTTGGACCTGCAAAGGACTGAACAAGCAGGCGGAGCGCAGGACAAAAATCAGTCTGAAGGATGACTGGGCATCTTTGTGGCGGCCATCCCAGGGGCTCCATCTGTGGCATGGTGTGCTTTCACAACAGAGCACCACCATCAACTGCATTTCGCTGCGCGCCGCCCCCAAGGACTGCCAGCAGAGGCGGCGCAGCAGGCCGCAGCCGCTGCAACCCTCCGTTTCGCCTTGTTTCAGCTTCGCTCGCCCCAAGCGTCCCCACCAAAGGACAGCCCACCCTCCCCGACTGAAAAGCTGCGGTCGCCGTCTTCGTATGAGTGCGCCCTATGCGAACACCATCCTCATGCTGTCACAGCCGCCTCCCGCCGAACGCAGCCTGCCCTTGCTAGCTGCATGTTCCTCGCAGACCCGCACAGCCCCTAGCTAGCCCCATGCGTTTCGAGGAGGTTACACACACCTGCAGCAAAGTCGGCGCCGCGCTGCTGCGGCGGCACCAAGAGGAGAAGCAGAGCAGCGCAGGGCAGCGCAGAGCTCAGCAGATTGCAGCAGGGCGACACCTGCTTTCAGAGGCAGGTAGGGGTGGGCTCGCAACAGCAGCACCCGCGTCGCGACACCAGAGGGACGCAAAAAGGCAGAGGGAACAAGCCAAAACATAACGCGCGCGAATCCCGCGCGCAAAATGGCAGCGACGGTTCGGTAACCTGTGGACAGAGGAGGGGGAAGCCTTTGAGAGAGCTGGGCCGCTGCTGTCCTGCACGCACGAAAATAGCAACTAACTGCTCAAAACCGGGGCGCGGCACGCAGCAGAGGCCGTCGGGGCGCCGGCGCCGCCGGCGGTGCAATCCAGCAACTGAGCTAACTGTGGTTTCCACTTGCTGCGCGAATGCGCGCCGAGGGACCGTGTGCACGGTGAATCGCGAAACACGCGCGTCCAGCGCACACGCGCGTGCGTGTGTGCATACGCGAGCGCGCCCGGGGGGCGCTCTGTCCGAACAGTGCCCAAGCGCCGGGTGAAACGTGTTTTTGATTATAGAGTGGGGGGAAGCGGGGAGGAGCGCCGCAGAAAAAAACGCCCCGCCCCGCAGCCCCTGTTTGCGGGGCTCGCCGCCGCAACGCGACAGCCCTCGCAACCTCCGCGCCACAAGGCCCCAAAAGGCCCAGACGCTGCAGCCAGGCGCCGGCTGACGGCGACCCCAGGGCGCCGGCGGCCGGATCAAAACGCCAGAAATGGCACGGCGAGGGGGGCCTCATGAAAAACATGAGGGCAACTCGGAAGACCCGGGCGCGTGCAGAGGGCTGCGGCGAGGGCTGTCCGTGCAAGGGGGTTGGGGAACCCTGTTGCACCGCCCTATTCCAACGACCGCACGCGCCTGCAAACCGAGGCGATGCGCCCCCGCCCCGTGCGCAAACACATGGCCGCGCCGCCGCGCAGGGAGTGCCGAGGCCGCCTCCGCGCGGGGTGGCGGGTAAATGGGCAGTGGAGGACGCGCATGTCCGCGGGCTGCGCGTGTGCGCGCAAGCGCGCGCGCCCGCGCCGCGGCACGGGCCGGCGGCGCAATTTAGGGGAGGATTGGGTGCGCCGGCCGGCCGCGGCCGCCGCTGCGGCGGCGTAGACAGAGAGCAGTGAGTGTCGCAAGTTTGAACCCCGCGTGTGAGCGGAGGCGATGGAGGGAGAGGGAGGTTGGAGATGAATACATGAGAAGAATCGGATCAAGCGACTAAGGGGAGGGCGAAACCTCAGTTAGGGGGGACTGGCCCGCAAGCGCACACGCACGGCGCTGAGGCCGGCATGGGCCTTGCGTGTTAGCGGCCTGCGGCGCCGCCGTCCTGAACGGTGCAAGCGCGTGCGCAGTCTGGCCTGAGGGTGTGCCCCGCGCGCCGCCGCCCCGGCGGCGCGTTGCGGCGCCGCCCCGGCGGGGTGACATGGGGCCGTCTCTGGGACTCTCCTGCTCTTGCGCCTGCGCCAGCGCTGCCTAGCGCGCATTCGTCAATGATACCAAGAAACGCCCCCGGCGGAAATAAGAAACGGAACCCCCGCCCGGGCGCCGCGCGCCGTCCAGGGCACAGCTCAGGAGCGCCGCCGCCGCCGCCTGCGTGCGCCGCACCCGCGCCCCGGCGCCGCCGCCGCCGTCCGTCGCGCCGCGCGCGCGG